CAGCCTGCACACCCAGAGACCAGCCTGCACACCCAGAGACCAGCCTGCAACCAGAGACCAGTCCACCCAGAGCACCACCTACACACCCAGAGGCCAACCACACTACACACCCAGAGACGCCTGCACACCCAGAGACCAGCCTACACACCCAGAGACAACCTACACACCCAGAGACCAGCCTACACCCCCAGAGGCCAGCCTACACACCCAGAGACCAGCCTGCACACCCAGAGACCAGCCTACACACCCAGAGACCAGCCTGCACACCCAGAGACCAGCCTACACACCCAGAGACCAGCCTACACACCCAGAGACCAGCCTACACACCCAGAGACCAGCCTGCACACCCAGAGGCCAGCCTACACGTGCAAGTGAGCGTAAAAGTAAACTCATTAAGTGGCTGACACACGCTGACGCACTAATTGCAGGTGCCGAGGCAGGTGTGAGAGGCTTATTAGAGGGAGACCAACCTGACGAAGGTGAGTAGAGTGCTCTTAGTCAACCACGCCATCAGTAGGGTCAGTAATAATGGTAATGAGAGGGTCAAACTACCTTCAAGGGCAGTGACCGTCTTTGTTGACTGAGGGAGCCATTCTACGGGAGTGTTGCTGTTTCACGAGGAGTACTTATTTAACAGGGGGTTAGATATTTTGATAGGGGTGCTTATTTAACGGGGCTAGTTCTTTTGATAGGGGTGCTTATTTAACGGGGCTAGTTCTTTTGATAGGGGTGCTTATTTAACAGGGCAGATTCTTTTTGATAGGGGTGCTTATTTAACAGGGCTAGTTCTTTTGATAGAGTACTTATTTAGGGCTAGTTCTTTTTATTAGGGGTGCTTATTTAACAGGGTTAGATATTTTGATAGGGGTGCTTATTTAACGGGGCAGAGTTCTTTTGATAGGGGTGCATATTTAACGGGGCTAGTTCTTTTGATAGGGGTGCTTATTTAACAGAGGCTAGTTCTTTTGATAGGGGTGCTTATTTAACAGGGCTAGTTCTTTTGATAGTAATGCTTATTTAACAGGGCTAGTTCTTTTGATAGTAATGCTTATTTAACAGGCTAGTTCTTTTTGATAGGCTTATTTAACAGGGGGTTAGATATTTTGATAGGGGTGCTTATTTAACGGGGCTAGTTCTTTTGATAGGGGTGCTTATTTAACGGGGCGAGTTGTGTTCCTATGGGTGTGTACCTTACATGGGTAGATAAGCTGTGCGGGTGTAACTTTTACGGTGGTAGTTAATTTAAAGGGTAGAAAATTTCATGCACTTACTATTCATCCAGAAACTAAGAATTTTACGAGGCAATTAATGCAGTTATTACCTAATTTTACGGCTGAGTTAGTTATTTAATGGGGGTAGATATTTTGCCGGGGTACACATTTAACGGGAGTAGATATATTATGAGAGGAGATATTTCATAGGAGCAGATATTTTATCGATAGATTTACAAGGATTTATTTTATAGGTAGTAAATATTTCACGGGGGTATATCCGGTATAGTTATTATAGCTAGTGTATTAATCACCAACATTACTCGTAAATGAAATATAGTAATCTCCATTGTTGCTGTTGTTATTATTATGAATACAGTACAATACGTACCTACACCTGGTACTGTAATGCTTCTGAATACAACAAAATGAAGGACTGACTGAACTGAGCTGACAAAAAACACACTGAAACATTCTAACTCCTGGCTTAAACATATATTGACTGACTGAGTAATAACCACAGCCCCTCACGTTAGAATCATCTCACTGCCCCCCCTCCCCCCCTGTTCTAGTACGCGTCAGTCACTTACTCACGCCCCTACAAACCACCAATAAGCTCTACCCCCCCGCCCCCACATACACACTTCAGGAACCTACAGTAATCTCCCGCCCGGATCCTTCCACTAACAATTACAGCAGGACTGCATGACAAAGTGGAGTACCATGATTGTTTAGTTACGTGCATGACCTTGGGGAGATGAGGGTAGTGTGAAAGGGAGGGGGGGGGCAACAGAAGAATGTGAGGGAGAAGGAAGGAAGGAAGGGAGGGAGACAGCGCGAGGGAGAGAATGAAAGGGAGGAGAGGTAGGGAGAGAGTGTAAGGGAGGGATAGAAAGAAAGGAATGAAGAGTAAGGGAGAGGAAGGAGAAATATGTGAGAGAAGAAAGAAGGGAGATAGTTTGAGGAGAAGGGAGAAATGAAGGAAGGAAAAAGGGAGATAGTGTGTGAGGGAGTAAATGAGTATGGGAACGGAGGGGCGGCTGACGAAGAATGTGAGTATGGGAATAAGAGAAGAAGAGAGAGAAAGAAAGAAAGAAGGAGAGTTGAGGATGAATTTGGAAGACGATAAAGAGCGGGAAAGAAATGAGAGGGAAGAGGAGATGAACAGAGGATAGAAGTGAAAGGACGGAAGTGAGGTGAGGAGTGAGACGTGGCACAAGATGGCTGGCGCTCTCTCTCTCTCTCTCTCTCTCTCTCTCTCTCTCTCTCTCTCTCTCTCTCTCTCACCAGGGACACATGCCACACAGGTCAACTCGCGTGCCCTCAGACTATTCGACAAGCACCTTATAAGGCACTTCACATAATTAAGGGTCATTACCATACAACAATGACAGCCTTCTTGTGATGTGTGTGTGTGAGAGAGAGAGAGAGAGAGAGAGAGAGAGACACTGTACTTGTCTTTTAACTCTGACTTAACTTCTTTATTATTTTCTTCCTTTGGTTTCAATCAGTATGTCTTGACACTTAACAATAACTGCTGGTGTTGGGAGTAAAGTTTGGTCCGTAGAGAGGGAGGTGTTGGAGAGGGGGGACGAGGAGATGGAGACGTAAGTGATAAAGAAGAATAGGGAAGTGTAGGAGAGGAGGAGGTGTTGGAGGAGGAGGAGGTGTTGGAGGAGGAGGAGGTGTTGGAGGAGGAGGTGTTGGAGGAGATGGTGGAGGAGGAGATGTTGAAGGAGGAAAACGTTGGAGGAGGAGGTGTTGGAGGAGATGATTATGTAAGAAAAAGTGTTGGAGGAGATGTCAGCAACTCACACGAGGGTCGAGGGGTAGGACCTTGACAGGTAATAATGAGTCTCCATCACACCTGTCCGGGGGTCACTCGTCACTAATGGCCACCCTTTGTTCTGTCCTGGGTGTAAGGTGGACATTTGGACGAGTGAGTGAGTGAGTTATGGTAAAGACGTAAATCGCACCCAAAAGGTTCCTGAAACTGAGTAATAACCACAACAAAAGTTCTTGAGACAGACATCACCACAACATACCGGTAATACGCTGTGTTCTGTTGGCCGTAATAAAACATTAACTCATGTCAGAACTACCGCAACTCTGTAAGTGCTGTACCATTGCTGTTGTACCTTCATCTCAGGTGTACAGCTGCCGCAAATACGCCACAACAGTAGCAGGAACAAAGGGAGGGGGAGGAGGGGGGGGTCGTGCAGCGTGTCAATAAGAGAGGTAGCCTGCTGCCCACGCCTTGACGTCAGTGGAAGCAGAGTTTAGGTTATCGAGCAACAACCACGCCTCTACACCACTGAACCCGAGGAACTGTGTGTGTGTGTGTGTGTGTGTGTGTGTGTGTGTTACTTAGTTCTCTCTCATTCTCTTCACCAGGGGACGAGAGAACAGGACGACCAGTACAGTAAAGTCTCAGTTGTTATTTCTACGTCATACAAGCCCCCAATGTTTGTGTCATGGCCTAAGTGAGGTAATTCCCTGATTCTGTTTGCCACTGCGAGGAACGACGGGCTGTTTGCTGTTATGTTTGTTTACACCGGACTACAAACAACAAGGTTGTTAAACACTCTGGTAATTAATCACAAGACAACAATTAACCTCAACATGTTAAAAAAATCATCTATCTTGGGGAGAAATTCATGAACAAGTTGACTGCTTCATGACCTACAGCAGTAAACAGGAGAAGTTACCACCCGTCAGCGTTCCTCACCAGTTCACATCTTGCTGTACTCTTAATGACTCGGCCACAGCAGCACAGCAACACATAACACTGACAGGGCTCCAGTACGTATCAAAATTTTCAAGACCAATGTAAACTTTTATCGTGTCATCTCCAACATAGAAACTACATGTACACTTTTCACGGTCAATGCACATTATTTTCACAGAATTTTTTGTAGACAAAGAACGTACAGACACACAGGATTCTTGTAATGCATGTCGTGATGAAGCCGTGATATTACGTGGATATTACGACCCGTGAAGACTAGCCACGAGGAAACAATTGTTGTGCTGTGTGCCATCACCCTCATAGTTCACAACCCGGAAGTTCACGAGTCTTGGGTGTGAGAGAGAGAGAGAGAGAGAGAGAGAGAGAGAGAGAGAGAGACACAATCCACACACCAGATAAAACTCTAAGCTACATCACCCAGACCTGGCCATGTGGTGTGGGCCTTCTTCACCCACCACATGTTAAGAGGACGTGTTAAACTAAATATAAAACTCCTGAAGGCGATAAACGACAGATCATCGACCACGTGTTAACCATCTGCTGTTCAGTAAAAAGGATCACATACCACACAGCGTCACGATTCACCAACACCATTGTGGCGCAGTTTCATCTTTTTCGGACAGTGACTTCACGCACGACAACCACCTGATTACATACACTGTGTTAATGTACCTGACACGTGCTCTTTTAACTTAACAAATGGCTTATTATACCTTGTAATTGACTCCTTAGGAAACTGATTAGTCTGTTTCTGGTGAGGGACACTTGGTAATATCCCTCCTCCCCACCACACTTCTGGCTCCCCCTCATCAGCCACTCACTATACATAGAAGCACACCTCATCAATGACATCACTCATCACCTTCAGTGTAAAACTTACCCAAGGTGTGGACGCCGACTGTAAGATATCGTACAATACAACAGCTTTCATCGACCTTGTGCCGCCCAGAAATAATGGCTGGATGAAAAACCTCAAAGGCCTCATTCCAACTTAAAACATTCTTAAGTGCACCATAAAGAACAATAACTGAGGTACTCACCACAGCGCAGATCTGCAGGGCGTGTAGGTTCTTGACCTCGTAGTCCAGCTGGCCCTGCAACACCAACTCTCCCCGGTAACTGTCTGACGAGTACAGCCGCGACGAAATCTTGAACATCTCGGCCGAGGAACCCTGCGGAGGGGAGTAAGAGAGTATGTTAAGCGGGTGTCTAGTGTTTACTTCCCGTGTTTGGTGTTAACAGTTGCGGTATGGTGCTTAATTATATCAAATTTGCATCTATGTTATTTGATTTAAGGCGTCAGTGATGTGTTTTGCTCCGAACTCTTTAATGTTAAAAGTCTACGCACTGAGAATAACCTATAATAATTTATATATTTTACAAAAAGATGGATAAAAATGTATACAGATGTGTTTTACCTTTTCATCAATTAACCTCTCAGGTGGTGATATAGCTAGCGTAAAATTTTAGGCCTTTAAAATTCCTAAAGAATAACTAAGATGCTAAGGCTTCTTCCAGCTGACGTACTTTATCTCTACACAGTGTGGTGGGGACAGTCTTGTTTTCTTGGCTTCTTACTAGACATAAGAGGGCGTATCTAGGTCAAATAATCCCTGTTCAATTTCGTCTGTCACAGGCTGTGAAACAGACTCACAGAGAGAGAGAGAGAGAGAGAGAGAGAGAGAGAGAGAGAGAGAGACGTTCTCAAATTCTATTAGGCGAAAACTTTATCCAACGATTTTCTGCGATTCATGGGCCAGGGTCATGGCTGTCAGTAAAGCAGTTACACAACAAGTAAGCACAGACTGAAGTGAGAGCCTTTACTGACCACACAGATAAAGGTTTTCGCAGGTAAGGGATTTTTCTTTTATTCTATTGAGTCTTAGCCAAGTTAGTAAGCAATACTTAGTGAGGCGTGAAGTAAGGTGTGGGGAGGGTGAGGGAGGGGCGACGTGAAGTAAGGTGTGGGGAGGGTGAGGGAGGGGCGACAAGTAAGGTGTGAAGGATGATGGTAAGATGGGTGGGAGGGAGACGTGAAGGGTAAGGTGTGGGGATGGTGAGGGAGGAGACGTGCGGTGTGGGAAGGTGGAGTGTGGGGATGGTGAGGGAGGGAGACGTGGAGGTGAGGGTGAGGGGGTAGGGTGAGGGAGGGAGATGTAAGGTGGGGGAGGGTGAGGGAGGGAGGGTGAAGGGTGTGAGGGAGGATGAGGGAGGGGGGAGACGTGAAGTAAGGTGTGGGGAGGGAGGGGGAGATGGAGGTGAAGTAAGGTGTGGGGAGGATGATGAGGAGGAGAGCGTGAAGTAAGGTGTGGGGAGGTGGTGGGGAGGAGGGAGGAGAAAAGCAAAACAGTACCTGACCTCTACAATATATGCAATCTGGATCACGGCAGCAATACTGTGAGGCGCTACATCTGTACCTCCCCCACCTTCCTAGCTACCTCTCATCCCCCCCTCCTCATATTTTCATACTCGCCTCTGAACACTATCTCACCTCATTCTCCTCTCTACACCAAGAAACCCTTAAATATCCTCTCTCAACCCCCCATTCCCTCTCCTCCATCCTCCCTCCCTTCCTTAATCTCACTCTTCCCACCTTCCTCACTACTCTTCCCTTCCTTCCCCCCTCACCTACCTCCTGCTCTTCTCCTTATTTCTCCCTTCATCCTCTCTTCCGTTTTCCTCTTTCCCCACTTCCTTTACTTTCCTCCTTTCTCCTCCTCCTCCTCACTACTTCCCACTCCCCACTTTCTTCCCCTCCCCCTCCTCCCTCCCCCAAGGTGTGAGTTACCACAACACATTGATCCACTTCTGCCCCCTCGCCCTCCCTCCTCTACACGTATACAGTACATCTCAACTTACCAGCTTGAAAGTATATTTTTATGTATGTATATGTATGTATGTATGTATGTATGTAGCACTATAGAACGGTCAATCTAGTTCCATACCCTTTTCATTATCCACTCCGATACAACAAGAACGCGCCCCACATTCATATTACATTATGGCTAATAACGCCCTGAACACACACACACACACACACACACACACACACACACACACACACACACACACACACACACACACACACACACACACACACACACACACACACACACACACACACACACACACACACACACACACACACACACACACACACACACACACACACACACACACACACACACACACACACACACACACACACACACACACACACACACACACACACACACACACACACACACACACACACACACACACACACACACACACACACACACACACACACACACACACACACACACACACACACACACACACACACACACACACACACACACACACACACACACACACACACACACACACACACACACACACACACACACACACACACACACACACACACACACACACACACACACACACACACACACACACACACACACACACACACACACACACACACACACACACACACACACACACACACACACACACACACACACACACACACACACACACACACACACACACACACACACACGAAATATTTCAACTTTAACTGATGACTTTACATTTTGGACCAACACGCAACCCAGGTATACATTTATTACCTATATCTAACACTCACGAACACGGTACATCTACATCTAACACTCACGAACACGGTACACCTACATCTAACACTCACGAACACGGTACATCTATAGACTCAACACTCACTAACGAACACGGTACGGTACACCTAATCTAACACTCACGAACACGGTACACCTAACACTCACGAACACGGTACCTATATCTAACACTCACGAACACGGTACACCTATATTACACCTAATCTAACACTCACGAAACACGAACATACGAACACGTGAACACGACCTATATCTAACACTCACGAACACGGTACACCTATCATCTAACACTCAACACACCCATATCTAACACTCACGATCACGGTACACCTTCATCTAACACTCACGATCACGGTACACTACACTAACACTCACGAACACGGTACACCCTATACATCACGAACACGGTACACCCATATAACACTCGAACGGTACACATATATCTAACACTCACGATCACGGTACACCTTCATCTAACACTCACGATCACGGTACACCTACATCTAACACTCACGAACACGGTACACCCTATATCAACACTCACGAACACGGTACCTAACACTCACGAACACGGTACACCTACATCTAACACTCACGATCACGGTACACCATCTAACACTCACGAACACAGTACACCTACATCTAACACTCACGAACACGGTACACCTACATCTAACTCACGAACACGGTACACCTATATCTAACACTCACGAACAAGGTACACCTACATCTAACACTCACGAACACGGTACACATCAGCTAACACTCACGAACACGGTACTACATCTAACACTCACGAACACGGTACACATACAGCTAACACTCACGAACACGGTACACCTACATCTAACACTCACGAACACGGTACACCTACATCTAACACTCACGAACACGATACACCTACATCTAACACTCACGAACACGATATACCTACATCTAACACTCAGAACACGGTACACCTACATCTAACACTCACGACACGGTGCATACAGCTAACACTCACGAACACGGTACACCATCTAACACTCACGAACACGGTACATACAGCTAACACTCACGAACACGGTACACCTACATCTAACACTCACGAACACGGTACACCTACATCTAACACTCACGAACACATTCACCTACATCCTAACCTCCCACGGCGATATACCTACATCCTACACTCACGAACACGGTACACATACAGCTAACACTCACGAACACGGTACACATACAGCTAACACTCAGAACACGGTACACCTACATATAACACTCACGAACACGATCCTACATCTAACACTCACGAACACGGTACACATACAGCTAACACTCACGAGCACGGTACACATACAGCTAACACTCACGAACACGGTACACATACAGTTAACACTCACGAACACGGTACACCACATCTAACACTCACGAACACGGTACATACCTACGAACACGGTACACCTACATCTAACCAACGGTCATAACACTCACGAACACGTAACTACATCTAACACTCACGAACACGGTACACCTACATCTAACACTCACGAACACGATAACTTATCTAACACTCACGAACACGATATACCTACATCTAACACTCACGAACACGGTACATACAGCTAACACTACGAACACGGTACACATACAGCAACACTACGAACACGGTACACCTACATATAACACCACGAACACGATACACCTACATCTAACACTCACGAACACGGTACACATGCAGCTAACACTCACGAACACGGTACACCTATATCTAACACTCACGAACACGGTACACCTATATCTAACTCTCACGAACACGGTACACCTACACAAACTTCATTTCAGGCAACAACTTCTCACCGTATTTACAGTATACAAAAATCCCTTTATCTTGCCGCCAACTTAATACCTGCCATACACATCATTCATACTGAAATTATACACATTAAATACTGAAGGTCGAAGGTCAGAGGTCATTATGGTACACAGTATACTTCACGTCAATTGGTCACACTATACAAGGTGGTCAAACAACTCAACACTTGGTTACATTCTTCCTATGTAAAAAAGGTCGATCACAAATTAGCTCTGGTAATATTGTACTAAAAGTTGTTATACGGTGACTCATATTAGCTGTTACGGCCACGTTGTGTTACACGGTTACGGTGTAGGTGTAGCGAGACTGTCAGGTGTGGTAGACTGAGTACAACCTAATAAAACTCTCAGGTGTGGTAGACTGAGTACAACCTAAGAAGACTCATCTGTGGTAGACTGAGTACAAGCTAACAAGACTCAACTGTAGTAGACTGAGTACAACATAATGAGACTGTCAACTGTGGTAGACTGAGTACAACCTAATAAGACTGTCAGGTGTAGTAGACTGAGTACAACCTAAGAAGACTCAACTGTGGTAGACTGAGTACAAGCTAACAAGACTGTCAGCTGTGATAGACTGAGTACAACCTAAAAAGGCTATCAACTGTGGTAAACTGAATACAACATAATAAGACTGTCAGATGTGGTAGACTGAGTACAGCCTAAGAAGACTC